CTCCCGGCCTACTAGCACAATCGACGATTGGAAATTTAGTACTGAAAGAGATTTCTTTTCGCTCGATTTCGTTAGCCAAAAAATTGGTATAACGAGAACGGGCATTAAATAAAAACATACGAAGAGGGAACAAAACCAAAATGAACATGGAAAAAATAATTAAGGGTGCTAAAACTCAAAGGAATCCCAAAAGTAGCAGGGAGAACTTCAAGTGTACCCATCTACTTGAATCAATCACACGATTACTCAATATCCCATCAACAACGTTTGCCCCACTGTACCAATGCAATCAATTAGTAAAATACCTGTAAACCACGCTTTCTGCAGTTGCCAATAAAAAGAAGTAAACAAACTTGAAAAATCTAGTTGAAAAATACATCTTATAAAATTTAGGCTTTAAAACCTACTGTACAAAATAATACAAACATACTGTAGCGTATTATTGGTCATAAAGGTGGTAAAGTACCTCGTTGTTCTAAGGATAATAATATCCATGTGGCAAAAACCATAATTTTTCTTTTTGCAAACAACATTGATAGTAAACCACAACAAAAATTATAAAAAATTCAACACGGAGGCAGAAAGCGTTAAATAAGAAATGGTGACTGTCCTTTTTAACTTCGCTCCCCAAATAACCACTATGAAAAAGGGGCAAAAGGAAAAAAGATGATATAAATGAAATCAATTGAATAATTAAATAATGCAGCAGCAGCACAAGTCAAATACTTAATTCTGCAGCTGAATCTTCACTGTAATCATGCATTCTTACGACAGCACCGTTTCAAAATCTTTTCTCTACTTTTTTTCTTGAAAGAAAATTAACTAAACCTGTAAAACATTTTTTGTCATGCAAAAAAATGAGAGCGAAAGTTGTTCACCGCCTTTCTTACCGTTTCTTCCGTAGAGGAACACTGCAAATAAAAATTTCTGTAACACTAAGGTGTAGAAAAAAATGTTAACAAAATTTTTTTTCAAATGTAAAACGTCCATCAATACCAACTTCGACACCACGCAACAAAAAAGGAAAAACAGTAACATCTAAAAAAAACAACGATGAAGACGATGTAAGATCTAATGAAAAGATACAACAAAAAGAGGAAAAAACTTTTTGACCCATTAAAAAAAAATCACTGACAGCGAACAAAAAGCAACAATACGAAGCAACAGCTTTGCTGCACAAAGGAATTACAACAAAATACAACACGCAGAATAATAACAATAGCAACAAAAACCAAAGAATCGTAAGAAAGCGATGCCCAAATGGTAAGCTCTCACACAGCTACGCACTAACAACACAAATATACATGTAAATTTACGTATAAAGAATACGGTCCACGACGACATTACGCGGTCATCATCATCATCATCATCGTTAGCACACGAATACACATTACAGAACAAAAAATAAGAAACCAAATGCTTTTCTTCCTTTCCTTTTTTTGCCTAGACAAAACACTAAAAATAGTTTTCTTCAATCATTAATCGAATAAAAATCGAAAACACTTCAAAATCCCAAATTGCAAAAAAAAAAAAAGC